ATATATATATATTTGTGTAGAATGGTTTGATATAGATGAATTAGTCTGATATATTCAATAACATTGAAATGTGTACTTTACTACATTGCTTTACTTCTGCAGGAATCTGTTGCCGATATTTTGGGAGCATTATTATGGATTCTTCAATGCAAAAGTGAAGCCTTGTTAACCATGGCATCAAATGTGGCAGTGAAGTTAGTTAGTGTTTTACCTAATACACTATTGCAACCACATATATTGGATCTTGTTTATTGTTTGTCATCCTTGCTATCTTCGCATCAAGTAGAAGTTGCAATACCCTGTGCTACTGCTTTGAATTTGGTAATCTCAAATTTGAGTGCTACAAGTGAGAAGGAAGTTATGGAAGCATTGAAAGAAACAGAGACTTCCATTCGTATTGTTGGAAATATAAAAGATTTTGCTGAAGGTGCAAAGAAAATTGAATATTTTGAAGATATGACTTTGCTTTTGAGCACAATATTGTGGCGCTGGCCTCCATCTAGATTCCCTGTTTTTAATGATGTTATACTTATGAAAGGTTTAGCAAATATGCATACAAGGACGGATGGTTCTATTAAACTTGTACTTTTAAAGTTGTACACGTCTTTAGGTATTAAAATATCCATCCACCCTCCATTACAAACAAAAAACTTTTCCTTGTTATCATACATTCTCAAGTATTTAAACCAACTAATTTTCATTTTTTTACCAGCTTTATGTGATTCTGTAGCAAGAAAACTTATAGAGGATGGAGAAATATTTCCACAAATGTTTGTGCAGGCGATGGGAAAATCAAACCCTCATGTTGTTCAGATAGAGGGGTTTAGGCTTGCTCAATGTCTATTGGTAATGTTTCATTGTTCTCTAAGATGATCACTGTAATGTAAAGTATTACTCCTAACCAAGATTGGTTTTTTCTATTCAGAGATCCCAAGAAAATTGTTTAAAAGTGGTTGGTTTGTGTGGTGAAGCTCTTGTTGATGCCATAATTCGTGGGATGAGAGAAACTGGGTTGAGTTCTAAAAAAATTGGGAACAACCATGGGTTTTTGTCAGTGGAAGCATGCCAGTTGGCTCTAATAACTCGTTGGGCAGGTGATCATCATATTAATTTTTGGAAAAAAGGAATTGACAAAGTCCTCCTTAATCTTCTGATTGGAAATATTCAAGACCAATTGTCTGAACCTGTCTTGTCAATGGAAAAACAAATAACCATGGCGAAAGAGGGATTAAAAGCCAATTATAATTTTGGTCTTAGGAGTTATGTGTGGGACATTCTTGGGTGGCTTACAATTCACTGTGGAGAAAATTTAAACCCTTACACCCATGGAAATGAGCTCTGCATCAACTTACTAATTACATGTGCATGGTAAATTGTATTCCTTTCATTATCAATTATTGATGGATTTAATATGTATACACATTGATATTATAATGGTTTAATTAATCTTTTGGTCCTTTCACCTGCACCAACTTTTTGTTTTAGTTCCTATATCTTAAAACACTACATTCTAGTCCCTATGCGAGCATTAACTTATTTATTTTTAATTTTTTATGTTTAAGTCTCTATTGTCAGTTTTTTGGCAAGTTCAAACTGCCACAAAATGGAGAAGGACTAAAACATAAATAAATTTGTTTGTATATGAACTAAAATGTAGAACTTTAAGTATAGCAACTAAAACAAAAAGTTGGTGCAGGTAGAGGAACCAAAAGATTAATTAAATCTTTTATAATATATCCTATATCTCAGTTTCTTATTACTACTGTTGATTATATTTCTGGAATTTTACAGCCGAACTTTTATTTCACCTTCATTGTGTTTATGCTCTCCAAATTTACCAATTCTAATTTCCCCTTTGTCTATAGCTTGAGTTTTGTGGATACACTTGAAAAATGGTGCCGAATATGTCAAAAGGATATTGATAATCATTTTCAAAGTGAACCAGTATCGAGGGCTGTTCTAATGATGATTCATTCTCCATGTAATACCATCTCCTCACATACTAGATTCTTATTGTCAGATTTACTGAAGGTGAAGGGCGTGCCATGCTTTAAAAGCTTAATACATACTCTAGATTATACATCATCTTTGGAAAGCTATGGATCATTTGATAAACTTCAACTGGTTATTAATTTAATTGGGTTGCTTTGTCTTTCAAGTTTACCACAATATCAAAGATGTCTTGTTGAGAGCAAAGGGATAAAGGCAATTGTTCTTCTTGTGAAACGATGCTTATGTAATGACATTCATGTAGAAAGGCATACAGCAGGCCTTGAAAGGTCTTGTTGCTGTTTTGGTGAAGAAGATTGGGAAGGTTCCAATGTTCTCTTATTTTATAGTTTGTTGGGCTTAACTGAAATCCTTCATCAGTGTGACCTTCTACGAGATGATCCTCAGCAATTTTCTAGAGAGGTGACAAACATTAGAGCTCAGTTAGTTAGCAAACTTAATGAGATCTGTAGCAACAACTCTTTCAGTCCTGGGGTGAGATGGTATGTATCTTATATTCTAACTTATTTTGGATGCTACGGGTTCCCAAACAAATTAGCCAAAAGGATTGGGAAATCACTCAATAAGGAAGAATACTCTGATATGAAGCTTGTTGTAGCAAATGGGGATTGTATGAGTGTTCATATTGTTATTCTTGCTGTTCGCTGTCCATCACTGCTGCCTCCTCAATTGTTACCTAGTAGGAAGAGTACTGAAGCGGTAACAGATAAGTTTGTTGGAGAGACCATGAGAGAAGTTCGATTATCTTCTCATGTTGATTATGAAGCATTGGTGTTGTTATTGGAATATGTGTACTTGGGATGCTTACATGCAGCAGAAGAAACAGTAAAGAAGCTGAAAATCCTTGCTAAGCGCTGCAATCTACAGCCTCTCTTGCAAATGCTTAATAGACAACATCCAAAGTGGGGCACACCTTTCCCCAGCTATAATCTTACTTCAGCTCTTGGTTCAGCTGGAAGTTGTTTTTCGTATGGTTTGCTTCTTGATCATCTTCTTATAAAAATATATTGAAATTGCATGTGATTGGTGTATTCTTGCATTTTCTTTTTTGTTTATTTCTACTTTTATCATTATTTCCCACAAAATCTGTACATTATTTCATGTACACTTAAATAGTAGCCTTCAACTTAATAGTTTGTATGGTTCATTCTGTGTTTTAAAATGAATTATGTTTCTAAAAGGACTATTGGAGTTGGAACAAGTTGCTAAATGCAATTGTATTATCAAGGTTGTAGTAAGAAATACTAGCTAAACTAGCTTTCTTATTGATTATATATTTATTGACTTTTGATTTAGGGCATGTAAAGGGTTTCTACTTAGTATACAATGAAGATAGTACGAGTGACATTGCTAACATTTGTTTGCAAGTTTGGGACAGAAATTCTGATATTGTCAATCTCTTTTCAGGGATGTCATGTTGGTAGCTAAATCAACTGAACTTGTTGGGTGGACATGCAATATTTGTTCTGACAAAGTACCCCATATGCATGTTCATAAAGTCATATTGCAGGCTGGTTGTGATTATTTACAAGGTTTGTTCCGGTCAGGAATGCAAGAAAGGTGATTATTGATCAAGACATCAATAATTGATCTATTTTATAGTTTTTCTGATATACAAGTGATTAAAATGAAACCAGAGGTTTTAATTAAAAGCTTGCCTATTGTTCAAGCTGGAGCTCATGAAAACCGAACATGTACATGTTTCGAAGACATGCATGGGTGTATAATGTATATATCTTATTCTTGTTGACAACATCTATGCAACTTGTTTTATGGGAAACTGATTAAGGCTTGAGAAGAACCTTGGGAGCCCAAGGCCTTATAAATCCCACATTAGAATCCCATACTTCTAATGTGAGACTCAAGTCTCACATCTTGCAATTGGATCCTAACTAGGCGTGAGATGTAAATCTTCTTTCACAAGCATGTTCTAGTTAAGTAGCCTTTGGAAACTCACTGATGCATGTTCTTGGTCTTGAGTTCAAAATAATCTAATCTGAGAATTGGTTGAAAGTGACTTGGAATCATGTCTGTCTTCATCATGGTTTGCATTGTTATGTTCATGTCATCCCATGTTTGAACTCTCATGCTAGTCTGGGAGATCCTTAGAAATTAGATGCAAGAAATTTTCATTTCTATATAGATATTATTCAAGCCTTCTCTATTTGCTTCAACTTTTGTGTCCCTATGCATTTTGATTGCCTTCTCTGTTCCCGTAAGGATCTTTCTTAATGTTTTTCATTCTTGCAGTCATTCACAAGTCATAAAAGTTGATATTAGCTGGGAAGCATTGGTTAAATTAGTGCAGTGGTTTTATTCTGATGAGCTGCCTAATCCTCCCTCTGGATGTGTGTGGGATAATATGGATGATGAAGAAAAGCTATTTAATCTACAACCATATGTGGAGCTTTGTTGGCTTGCTGAGTTCTGGATTTTGGAAGATATTCAGGAAGCCTGCTGGAATGTGATAATGTCTTGTCTTGATTCTTCCAGGCAACTGTCCATTAAAATAATCAACATGGCTTATAATCTCTCTTTGTGGAAGTTGGTTGACATTGCCGCAAATCTCATTGCTCCTTCATATCGTCAATTACGAGATTCGGGTGAACTTGAAGAATTTGATGATGCACTAGTGCAGTTAATTTATTCTGCTTCTATTCAACTTAACCAAGAAAGCAACAATTGCTTTAGGTGATTTAATATTCTTCAAGATGATTCATAGTGCAGGAGATTTAGGTGGCATATACTAAAATATTTTAGGAGCTAAAACCTGCCACATTAGGTATGCTGAGACATCTGTCACTTTTTTTTTTATATTTTGAATGTTCTAAAATTACCTCTATAATTTTAATATGAATCCCAAAACTGGTTCTTTTCTTCTTTTTCATTAAATTATGAAAGGCAAAATATGCTTAATTAGGGACATTAAAAATGTCCTATATTATATATTTATATTTTAGTATTCTTTCCATTTCTTTGTCAATATTTGTTTTTTCCATTTTGCAATTATTATTTCATGCTGGTTTTGTTGAGATGACAGCTCTATACAATTCCCCTTTTTCAAATAACTTAAAGAAAAACAGTTCAAGTACTTCCATTTTATGTAACTTCCTGATTATTTTATTTGAAGATTTTCTAACGTTTTCAATACTGCTAAGCATTTCCTAATCTGCAGGAGTTTTTTTTTTTGTCAGATAGTATTTTTGATTAAAAAAATACATATGGGGTAACAGAAAATCTAATATATAAACTGGAAGCATTTTGTAAAAACTTGCTGAAATTAATTTGAATTTTTCATATAGAAAGAGGTGATAAAACTTCCTTTATATAGGAGAGTGAAAAATGAAAAATGTGTAATGTGCCCAATGTGGGACTAAGCTACTAAGCTATGTGAAAATGAGCTTCGACTAAACCAATGTGGGACTAAGTTTTCTCTGATACCCCCCGCAAGTTGGAGGGTGAAAAATATCTAACACTCCAAGCTTGGATAGGAGATAGAGGAAGTCTTAGGAAGTAAAGCCTTAGTAAAGAAGTTTGCCAGCTAATCTTGAGAGGAGATGGGCAAAAGTCTGAGCAAGCCTGCTTGAACCTTCTCACGAACCAAGTGACAATCAATCTCAAGGTGTTTTGTACGCTCATGGAAGACAAGATTATGTGCAATGTGTAAAGCACTCTGGTTATCACAGAAAAATATAGGAGATTTGTGAGGAGTAATCTGCAAGTCATCAAGGAGGAATTGGAGCCATTGGAGTTCACAAGTTGCTGAGGCTAAGGCTCTATATTCTGCTTCAGCAGAAGAACGAGCAACTATCAACTGCTTCTTAGATTTCCAACTGATGAGAGAGTTGCCAATGAAGAAACAATGCCCTGAAATAGACCTACGGGAATCCACACAACCACCCTAGTCAGCATTTGAGAAGCCTCGTAGTTGAAGGAAAGAATCCCGCGGAAAGAACAGCCCCAATCCAGGAGCACGTTTAAGATATCTAAGAATTCTCACAGCAGCCTTGTGATGAGACAAAGTAGGGGAACTCATGAACTGGCCCACCTGTTGAGTGGCAAAGGCAATATCTAGGCGAGTGGAAGTTAAGTACAAAAGACGCCCCACAAGCCTTCTATAAGAGGAAACATCAAAAAAGGATTGACCATTGTCTTGGTGAAGTCTGATAGCAGGATCCAATGGTGTAGTTGTTGGTTTGCAGTCCAAGAGAGAAGAGTCCTGCAATAAGTCCAAGCAATACCTCCTTTGTGAAAGGGTAATACCAGCAGAAGAGTGTGCAACCTCTAAGCCCAGAAAATACTTGAGAATTCCCAAGTCCTTAATTCCAAAGGTTGTATGTAATTGAGTCTTGATAGCAGGGAATGTATCAAGAGAGTTGCCAAAAAGAATTACATCATCCACATAGATTAACAACCCAATGAAACAAGAGACACCAAATTTAAGAAACAAGGTGTGATCAGTAGCTACTTGCTGGAAACCAAGTTTAAGAAGAAAAGTAGAGAGCTTCTCAAATCATTGCCTGCTTGCCTGCTTTAAGTCATAGAGAGACTTAGTTAGTTTACAAACCAAGTTTGAAGAAGGTACTGTCAAACCTTGTGGAATGGTTATGTAAATGTCTTCATGGAGGTCACCATGGAGAAAAGCATTATTTACATCTAGCTGATGAAGATGCCAACTGTGAGGCTGCCAAAACTAAAATGACCCTGATTGTTGTGAGTTTTGCCACTGGTGAAAAAGTATCCAAATAATCAAGCCCTTCCACTTGATGGTAACCCTTAGCAACCAGCCTTGCTTTATATCTCTCAATGCTGCCATCAGATTTCCTTTTTATTTTGTATACCCATTTGTTTCCTATAGGAATAACTCCAGATGGGAGAGGCACCAAGGACCAAGTGCCATTGAGCTCAAGAGCAGTGATCTCTGCAGCCATGGCTTGCTTCCAACAATCATGCTTACTGGCTTCGTGGTAAGAGGTAGGATAAACTAGCAAGAGAAACAAAAGAGTGAATAGGATAGAAACTACCTGAATGATGCTGCTGAGGAATGATGGATGAATTACATTGATAGTCTTGCAAGTAGGATGGTTTGGTTTTGTGTCTAGTGGATTTTCTGACAGGTGGTGCAGAAGGTGAATTAACTGTTAGAGAGGAAAGGGGTGTGAGTGAGGTGTCTGATTGTGAATGGTCAGAAGAAGGATTGTTGTCTGATGGAGAAAGTGGAGTTATGGGGTTAGCAGAATCTATAGGAGAAGGATTAGTGTGAGGTACTGGAATGCAGATAGGCATAGGATGTTTATTTGTTGATGTTGTGGCACTTAAAGAACAAGGAAAAACAAATTCTTCAAATACAACATTCCTGGAAACAAACACTTGCTTTGTATGCATATCATAAACCAGAAAACCTTTGGTATGAGATTTATAACCAACAAAAATGCATTTATGACTTCTATGATCAAATTTGGATCTATGAGCAACAAGAGTTGAAATGTAACACAAACACCCAAAAACCTTAAGGTATGACAAGTCAGGTTGTTCATCATATAAAAGTTGATGAGGAGAGTGTCCTCCCAATAGTTCTGTAGGAATTCGATTGATTAAATGAACAACATGACCAACAGCTAGGCTCCAAAAAGTTTTAGGTAAGTTTGCTTGAAAAAAAAGGCTCCTAGCAACATTTAAAATGTGTTGGTGCCTTCTTTCAACCCTCCCATTCTGTTGGGGGGTCTCTACACAAGTAGTTTGATGTATGATTCCTTTGTCCCTATAAAAGGAAGCAAGAAAGAATTCAGAACCATTATCTGTCCAAATTGTTTTGATTGTAGTATTGAACTGAGTTTCTACCATTTGAGTAAAACTTCTAAGATGAACTTCTGTTTCAGATTTGTGTTTTAAAAAAATCACCCACAGATACCTACTATAATCATCCAGAATGGTCAGGAAATATTTATGATTCTGTATGGATTTGGTTTTAAAGGGCCCCAAACATCTAGATGTAATAAATCAAAAGGTTTGGATGCATTATGTAAACTATCTGAATAAGGGAGTCTTCTTTGTCTAGCAAAGTGACAAATGTCACATATATGTCTTTTATTAGAATTCTGTAAGTATGGATACAAAGCAATCATTTGATTCATTTTTGAAAAAGAAATATGTCCTAGCCTAAAGTGCCACAAAGCTGTATTAGGAAAAGAACTGGATGTAGCTTCTGCTAGGTTAGCTTGTGTCTGATGCTTGGAAACTTGCATGAAATATAATCCATCCAATGCCTCAGCAGAACCAATCATCTTCATAGTTGTCAAATCCTGAATATAGCAAACATGTGGAAGTAAGATAACTGCACAATTCAGTGTTGTGGTGAGCTTAGAGATTGAAATGAGGTTAACAGAAAAATTTGGCCAATGTGTGAAGGCACAACTGTGTTCCCATTAGGGAGTTTAACAGTAATAGAATGATCAGTGAGAGGTTCTAAGGAAGTGAATAGTGATTTATCTGAGCATGTATGATCTGAAGCTCCAGAATCCAATATCCAAACATTATGTTTACTGGAATGAAGAGAAAAGACAAAGGACTTACCTGAATTGGAGGTGGTTTGTGATTTTTCAGGCATAGAATGGGTGGAACTTACGGCTGCTATTTGAGTGTTTAAGGTATTACCAGTGATGTTTGATTGTTGAAGCAAATGCATGATGTTTTGATACTGCTCTTTAGTCAAGGACACATGATCTGATGCATCATCACCCTTTATTGTCTGTTGTTCCTCTATTGAGTTGTCCAAACCTTCACCAATAACATGATTTGAACTATAATTCTTCCCTCTAGAGCCTCCTGGATAACTGTGCTTCTTATAACAGACTTCCACTGTATGTCCTGTCTTCTCGTAATAGCTGCAAATTTTTAAGTTTCCTCTGCCAGCAGAACCATTATAACCTCCTCTACCTCTACCAAAAGGCCTTTTGCTTTCTGTTGCATTGATGAAAACTTGTGTTTCCTCTATATTGCCACTAGAACTAGAGTTGAGCCTTCTCTCATGTTGAATAACAAGTGAATAAGTCTTGTCTATATCTGGAAATGGCTCCATCATGAGGATTTGAGTTTTTACAACCTCAAACTCATCATTCAAGCCACTAAGAAATTTCATTATGTAGTCTTCATTTTTGTATATTTTACCATTTTTACCTGTCTCACAGAGGCATGCAACAACACATGTGCAGTCAGGAAGAGGCCTGTAATTGTCAAGTTCTTCCCACAAGATGGTGATCTCTGTGAAGTACTGTGTCACTGAGTTACTACCTTGCTTCATTGATGCTAATTCTTGTTGTAGCTCAAAGATCCTCACTTTGTCTCCTTGAGCAAAGCGAGTCTTTAGCAATACGCTTTGTGCGATTTGTGGTTCCACAGAATTAAAAATCCAAGACAAAACAAGATTGTTACACCTCTCCCAAGCATCAAAGCTGGGATCAAAACTGGTAGGCATTGGCATTGTGCCATTGACGAATTTGAATTTGTTTTTTTGATATGAGTGAACGTTTCATGGCTCTTGCCCAACTATGATAGTTCTTAGAATTTGTTTTTTTGATATGAGTGAACGTTTCATGGCTCTTGCCCAACTATGATAGTTCTTAACCGATAGTAGAGGAGTAGTTAAAGGCATGGAAGGATTCTCACCAGGATGTATGTAATACACACTCAAAGGATGTGCTGGATTTTGTGGAAGCGTGACAGATGATCCTGCACCTCCTCCTCCATTGAAATTGTTATTCCCCCTAGCCATAGCAGCAAAGAATCACCAGAGCTCTTGAGATCAAGAGCTCTGATACCATAATAGAAAATCTAAAATACAAACTGGAAGCATTTAGTAAAAACTTGCTGAAATTAATTTGAAATTTTCATATAAAAAGAGGTGATACAACTTCCTTTATATAGGAGAGTGAAAAATGAAAAATGTGTAATGTGCTCAATGTGGGACTAAGTTTTCTCTTATAGTAGGGTAAAAACATTTCCTCATAAATAAGAGACGAAAGAAAGCAGTGAGTTGAAGTAACTCAATATGCCACAAAACTCATCAATCTCTTTTTCATTTAGTTTATAGAGAAGTCCTTGTAGCAGCCATGGGTAGACACGTGATTATAATCATATCCCTACGCAAGTGTAAGGAACCAGTAAATTAATTGGGTGACAAGATAAAAAACTAAGAAACTAGGGAGATGGGAAGACCAAGACAGGGGGAGGGGATTCATTTGCATTGTTGATAAGTGCATGTTTTGAGTACCTTAATTTTCAGGTAACATTTTCTGTTTTCAAAAGCTTGTTTAGTAAGATTTTGATTATATGGTATTTTAAACACAAAATAAGCTAATCAAAACAAAATTTTACGACCATGTGATTTATTAATACTTGTTTGTCTCATCTATATATTGATTGTAGGCAACTGAAGGACCTGAGGTGAGGTGAGGCGCGCTCCTTCAAAGCTTGTTGTGGTGGAGGTTAGAGAAAACCTGTTGCTCTTTTAGGATTATAATCTTATGTTTGGTCTGTTTAGAATGCACGTCACTTAGTAGTTTCTTGTAAACAATTCTTAGTAGTCAACATGGATTTTCTCCCTAAGTCCTTTCTCTATCTTCTTTTTGAGTTGCTTTCTTGGATTAAAATTGCAGTTGAAGATATAATGTCATTTTGATTTCTGTCCATCAACCTTCGGTTAAAAGCTCATTCTACAAATCATTTTAAGTAATTCAAGAATTCTGTTTTACTCCATCAAATTTGTTTGTAGGTATTTCTCTTTCTTTCCTGAAAACATTCTAACTAGTTTTGCTTTTTATATTAATAGGTATGCAATGCTAAGAATCTACGTTGAGAAATTTTCAATCCCGTTCCAGCTACAAATTATGTCATACACCATTAAATTATTACTTTAAAGACTTTTCAGATAATAATAATTGAAAACAAATAAATCAGTGTTCTATTTAGTTCATGTATGAAATTAGGTAGTGGTATGTTTTTTCTTCTCCAATTTGCCTTGGTTATGGTTAATTATTTAGTTGTAGAAGGATTTGTCTTAGGTGCAACATCTCTAGCTCTAGGGGTTTTCTTTCTATTAGAGATCTTAGTGATATAATCCAAATAATATATATAATAGGTAACTCTCTTTTGATAAGCTAGTTTTTGAGGTTGAATTAAACTCACAAATTTTGATTAATCTTTGTCAGGGACCGTGAATGAAGGTGGATATTTCTCTTTCAACATAGTGTATTTCAATCCCAAGGTTAAGATTCGCACCTTGGACAACTTGATTAAAGGACATAAGTCGCTATTACTTGTGCTAACCAATGTTGATAGTATTAGAGTTTATCTTAACAATTGTTATCTAAGTTAACCTTTCAAACTACTTATACATGTCTAATCCTATAAATTTCAAGTTTAAGTTGTTGTCTCAAGCGTGAGGGTAATAAATCCATAACACATGTATATTTATAGAGATTTTTTACCTATTTTAATGCAATAACTTGATGAAATAATGCGAAAACATAACTTGATTGGGTGCATTTTCATGTGGTATTTTGAAATTGTTCAATGAATAAATAAAATGAATATTCTAACTTTTTTAACTTTTCAATGTAGGTAAAATGATCGAGGAACATGGAACAGCAATCGGGATAATTTCATGCGCCTAACATGCTCATGGTGCGCCCAAGTCCCAACCCATCTAATTTGAAGCTAAAAAGGTTTGCTCACGTGCTCAACTCATGGCATTATGCGACCAACCTACTAAACAGGGAACCCAAGGCCAAAATGTAATTATGATGCGTCAGACCCATAAGATTGATGCATCTAGCAAAAGCTTGAATGATAACTAGGAGAGCTACTTTTTGGGGGCAACCAACAGTCCAACACCCCATATCTATCGCCCACCTACTTTGTATTAAGCTCTAAGTTACAAGTTTTGCATCCTAGCACCTAAAGGGGTTTATCCACTATTCCAAAAGCTTAAGAGGCTTTTGGAAATTGTTAAAGATCTCATTTGATTTTATGTGCATAGGGAAACTTGGAAATATTGTATAGCTATATTTAGGGATTTTATTCATTGTATTTTTATTTTATGCTCTTCACTAATAATAAATAAATTAACATGTGTGGGATGAAACCATTGTCTGTATATTTTTATATGGTATAAGGTTAGACTTGATCTCCCTTTGCTCTTATGTCGAATCCTGTTTTGTTCCCATTTTCACGGCCTCTCACAATTCTCTTGCTGCTTCTTGTGTAACTTTCATCATTGTTTCACTTATCTCGTGTTAAAAGTTGACTCAGATAGCCAACTATTATACCTAAGTAGCAACAGTCCAATTGCAATTCCATGTTCAAGATTGTGTTGATCACTTGACCCCTTGAGCCACAAATTCCTGCTAAGATTGAGCATGTTGGCGGCTAGTCGACACCTCCTTATGCAACATTCGCTGGTTCTCTATTTCTCTTAACCTTTAGTGCCAATACCAAGTGTTTCCCACCTATTACAAGGTTTAAACAGAATTTGGATTCTCTCTTGCAATCTTCTCTCTCTAGTCTCTCTCCAGCAATAATAATAATCATTAGATATATTTAATGGCTTAAATTCAATCTTATAAAATCATTTAATAAATTACATTAATTAATAAGATTGAATTTGAGCCATTAGATATATCTACCATTATTGTTGGAGAGAGGCTGGAGAGAGAAGATTGCAAGAGAGGATCCAAATTCGTTTAAACAAGGCTAAGAATGTATTTTAATGATGTTCATCATCTCTACAACATAGTGATTGCTATGAAGTGATTAATGTCTATCAAGTTAGAGAATATGATATGCAAACATATCTTGGTAAGCTCAATCATTTGATTGTTGATTTTTCTAGTTTAATGCCCTTCACTAGTGATGTAGAGACCTTTCACAAGCAATGCAACCAATACTCTATGTTTCTTTCCCGTGCTAGTTTCTCGTCTAATCTTAACTTGGTACAAATAAGATATTATTAAGTCCTACAGTTCCTACCTACGACATGGTTAGTAAACAATTGTTATGGCTTTCTATTTTGCATGTTTTTAGACATTCCTAAGTTCTTTCTAGTGATTCCTTCACTCTTGTCTCTCACTCTTTCCATTGTGGTGGAAGTAATGGGGCCGTGGTGGCAAAACTTGTCCTCATTGCAATTATTGCAACCATTATGGCTACATTGAAGTGAAATGTTGCACCAAAGTCATGAAACAATCTAAGTTGGCCAATGTGGCCCGATTTTTCCCACTTGCGGATGTTGTTATTTTTGGCATTAGGTATAATGATTTCCTCCAATCCTAGAAATCCCAAAAACTTATCTCACAAGTTACTATTGTGGCTCAATGTAGTAATTATGTAGCCTATCTCTCAATGACCTTGAATACTTGAGTATGGTGTCTCTCGTGATATGACTAGTAACCAATCTCACATCTTAATTGTCTTTTGTTACTCTTGCTGGCAACACTTAGGTCAAAGATCTATGCATTGACCAAACTCACCTACTTCCAAATCTTTTTAAAATTTGTCCTATTTGTTCATGATTGTCCTTTTAATTTAATTTCAATTGTAAATTCACTTGCATACCTGATTTCTCCGTCTCTTATGTTAATAATTCAATTATTGTTTAGGATTAGCGTACAAGAAATAAGATTAGAGTAGACCATGCGTCTTAAGAATTGTATCAACTTTCACTATCAGTTGCTTGTGTCCCCATTTTTTCTCTTAATCTTGCCCATTAGAACATCGATTATCCTAGGTTGGAAAAATTGTGTCTTGTTTTTTAGTTTTTCTATACTTCAATCTTTATATGTGAATCATGTTAGTTAGTAAAACATGTTTATCAAATGTGTAGTCTTCACATCAATAAGAGTGTTGTATTATCTTTTACTTTTGTTCAATTTGGTATTTTGAGTCTTAGTCTAGTTTGTTTAACTTTAAGATATTCTTGTTTTGTACTCCCTTCGATTCTTATTATAAATATTTTTAACTGAATCACACAGACCAATATAACTAGTTATGTTAATTATTGTGTTTATAAAACAAAATCATGTTATATCAATTTTACTCTTCTTATTATTAAATTTTCATACGAGGTGACATCAATATCAAAAAATTGATAAATGACAATTAGAGACCTTACAAGGTGAGAGAAAATATTTATTTCCCAAATTCTTTTCTCATTGTCTACCAATAAGAAACACATATTCTTATAATATTTAATAGAGACAAAAAATGAAAAATTAAATTAATATTTTATCAAAATTGTAAAATGTTTTATAAAAAATACCATCACTTCCTTCTAAATTGTCTTATAATAAAGATTAAATAAAATAATATTCATTAAGGATTTTTCCTGTTGCACCTAGGTATTTTTTATGTGGTTTATATTTTTTCATAGTTTCTCTTATGAGGTACAAATCAATTTGGGGTGTTAATTAAATTTTACAAATTAATAATACACAAGAATATTTATCTTCTCAATTTCAATTGTATCTAACCTTAAATGGAATTATCAATCAAATGTCATATGCTCATTACATCATAGCAAAATAGTGTTGCTGAATGAAAAGCCAAAACTTAATTGAAATGACATACACCTTCACTACAATGTTCCTCTCCACTTTCGGTGGATTATTTCTTATAAGATGCGATTTGATCATTTGTCCTCCATAGTTAGAGTTCATTCTCTATCTTGTACCATTAACATAACCTTTATCCTTGTTTATCTTTGTATCTTTGGTTACACTTGTTTTGTCCATGAACTTGCATCATGTAAAGATAAATCATCTATAAAAGTCTTTTAAATGTATTTTAAGTTAACTTCGTCTCCTAAAAGGATATCATTATTTTTGTTAACTTCAATGTTTTCTACACTTGTTTTGTCCATGAACTTGCATCATGTAAAGATAAATCATCTATAAAAGTCTTTTAAATGTATTTTAAGTTAACTTCGTCTCCTAAAAGGATATCATTATTTTTTGTTAACTTCAATGTTTTCTAGTCTCTACTGACCTCACTTTCTTGGAGTCAACTTCCTTTTTCTCCATGTGTGTTGTTAACAATGCTCCTTTACATATTCCACCTATTGTTCCCACTCCAATCATTGTTAATGTTTCACCACCATTCATCATCGATTAAAGGCGGCCATAAACTTCCTCAACAATTCCACCTAGTAATCCTTCAACACCATATCTTGCTCTAAATGTCATCCCATCGATGTTACCTACACCTAAAATTTTTATTATCCTATGCAAAGATATTTTGTCCTATCACAATCCTCACTTTTTATATGTTTGTACTCTTTACTATGACTTATTATCTCATCCATATTCTTTTTTGTCTCTTTTGTGGATTCATGTCTATTCTTAAGCTCACACGTGGAGTCCTGCCTAGGTGATGGATGAAATTAATGTTTTAAAGAAAAGTGGAACCTGGGAGTTAGTTCCTCAACAAGATTGGGTTTATATACTGGATAATATGGCAACATTGACCAATTCAAATATTGATTGAGACAAAGTGTAACACCCCAATTTTTAATTAAACTATTTAACTAAACTTATAATATAAATAAATAATATTTTAATAAATAAAAAAAATAGACATAAATTATGAAAAGCATTTGGGTTGGACTCTTGAGTCTGACTCAGAGTTTTAGAGGGGAGAGGTTAAGTCGTATAACGCATTAGTTTCTAAAACCCTAAAAACATTTGCAAAGGAATTCTTAAAGGATAACCTCGAGGAGCATGTGGAGTAGTATTGGAATAGTATATATATTTGTCTTGGAGATCATCATTTAAGGTAAGCGGGAGTGGTATTTTTTTTCATCTTGTGGGCATATATGAGGAGTATAGGCAGTAAGGTGAGTTCTAAGCCTCTTAGGTTATTGGTTAAAATTTAATTGGTGCATGCATTGATAGTTTGAGATTATTGTTGTTGTTTGACTATATATATGATGTGAAATTTTGTGATTTATAATGTTGAATTATGCCCTGCATTTGGTTAAGGGTAGGTTTTGTATGATGAATTTAGAGTGGACATAACTAAATGATTGAATGTATTTTGATGTTAGTTGGTGTTATATAAACATTCTATATTATTGTTTTACTCGTTGATCAATGTTTTAAGACATTAACAAAATTCATAAGGGTTAGGAAATCGAAGTTCATAAAGTATATGATTTTGCAATTTTGCATAGTGTAGAATCTAATGGTGGCGCTAAGCGTGAGTGCCCTTCTCCATACTAAGTGTAAGAAGGGTCATGCCGGCATGAAAACCACAAAGAGGTCCCATTACTCTTAATGGCAAGAGGTGCCCTGCTAGGCACCATTTGACGTTGATTTTTTGAGTGCATGACATTAGGTGTAGCTAGGGTCACATTGGGTGCAAATGCATCTAAGGGTCTTTGATCCCTCAGTGTTTGTGTGGGAGTAGTCACACTAGACACAAATGTGTCAGAGAGGTCGTTGACCTCTCTGCACTTGGTGCATGATTTGTCTTATCGAGCCTGGTTTCATATAGTAAGAAAGAGATAGTGAATCTCGAGGTTAGAGAAAGAAATTAGCGAAAGAGCCCATGAGGGAGAATTTCATTCTAGAATTAAAGAAGAGAAAAAAAAAACAGATAAGTAAACATGACTAAATAATTAAATAGAGTAAAAAGGTAATGAAAAATCATAATTAAGAGACGGACTTAGGAAAAGTGAAAATGATAATGGAAAAAATTATAAAGGGAAAGA